AGGGCACAGCCACCCACAGCATTGAGCTCCTGCGACCGATTTTGTCGGCCAGCCAGAGGAAGAATATATTGCCAACCAGACCGCCGAGACAGAGAACCGATGCTACATTTCCCTGATCCTGCTCTGTAAGGGGACCCGTCGCCAAGGGACTCGGGTTGCTGTTTAGATCCAGAAAGCTGGACGAAGGCCAGCCGCAGTAAGCGCCGAAGGAAATGGACACAATATTTACTAAAATTCATAAAACATTTTAATATCTAATAATTGTTTTACGCAGAAATTAGTAATTTATTTATAATAAATGTAATTTATTTTGATTATTTTTTTAAAATAATTTTTACTCTCCTATATAGCTCTTTGGAATATATAAATAATATACAAAGGAGTTATATCGTTATTATAAATCATATATCTAATATTATTTGTCCATATGTTAAATATATGCAAACACTTTTGTACATATATATGTACATATGTATGTGTATTGGATGTGCATTGAAATTAATTTCAAATCCGACTGCTTTTTCATAAATAATTTACTAATTAACAGTTGTATTATCACGCATTATTCGCAGCATTTTAATTTGGCTTTAATTCAATTTAAATGTTCTTCCTGGTATTTATGCAATAAGCTCAATTTTTTTTAGGAATGCCCATTTATATATTTTACGCTCACATAAGCACTTTAAAGGTAGTTTCATTGTCGCTTTTTATCCTTTTTACAAACCAAATATTGCAGCCAGGTATTGGTATTTCACACTGCCTTTTGCGTCCATGTTGCTATTTTTTCATTATCCTCTTAGCAGGCGGTTTTTGCAGTTGGGATCTGCTGGCTGGGGTAACGCTCATGGCGAACTAACCGGGCACAGTGGCTGCATGATAACTTTTATATACAATATGACATTAAAATCCCACACATAACGGGTAGAGATTGTAAAGCCAACCGGAGATACAGAGCCACAAAGCTGCAAAAACAAACTGAACGAATTGTTCTTATCACTCTACTATCATGCTCTCAGCTCTCAACTGCAACTACGAACATCATCATCATCATCAACAACAACAACAACAACATCATCAGACAAATATTCCAATTGCATGCAATCCAGTCTGTCGATACGCTTTGTTTTCTCAGCTACTGTCATTATAATTGCAAGCACTTTTTACTCTTCTCAGAATCGGAGAAATGTGATGGGAGTATATTGACCGACTTTGTAATAGAGCGAATGAGAAAAGATCAATATAACATAACCACAGGATATTCACTGTTGTGTGTACAGAAATATTGACAAAAAAACTTGTATTAATGTTGATTGATCTTTGATATTCCAAGTATTCCGAGTATAGTAAATTGAAAGAGACTCGACTTGATTTGACAGAATTAATATAGAGTCATGTATAGACATACAGAGAATAAATCAGCAAGGGAATCAAAACTGCGTTTATAGCAGACATAAGTGCGCATTATTTTGTATGTTTATATTTGTTTTTCTCTTCATATTATATGTTTACTGTTTTCCTGTTGTGATATGTGCCTGAACTGGCAATTGAGCTGCACAGAGGAGCGTCATTGTCAGAGAGCTGATCCGCCGTGCAGTGCAGTCGACTGCATTAGTTGCCGAGCAGTTGCTGTGCTTGAATCACGTTTTAATGGCGCTCTCGTATCAGTAGCCCGAAGATTAGACACTCTGTGCGTGTGCTGCGAATATTCTAAATTTTAATCAGATAGGAGTGTGCGCTAGGTAAACAAGGCTAGAGCATCATAAAGAGCACATCGCAGATATGGATTAGTGTGTATATGGGACGCTTGGTATGTCTTCCTTATTTGCCATGCGCCGCGAAAAGAGAAAGTATTGCTTCTGAGTGATGCCAAGAGCCAAGTTTATACAGATCTATAAGCTATTAGCTCTATTGTCAGTGTTTTGTCCCGGTCCCAGGTCGAGTACCTCAGGTGCTGACCAATTTCACATCTAGTGTGACCAGAATGTTCCATGCAATAAAGAAATTGGAAGCTAGATTAGATAAGTTAAGATCGTGGGCTTATGGTGAATATTATGTGAATTTCATCAGCGCTGACGCTACTTCGGATCACTGTTCACGTCGACAAGCCGTGGGAGAGAGGCACAGGTGAGAAGTGAAAAACAAGCGCCACTCTTAATTAACTTGTGCTTTACTTATATTAGGCCTAATTGTAATTTAATTGTTCAGATGTTCGAGGAAATGTGCCCGTTGGTGGCACTGCCCGCCTTGGCCACGCCCTCCTGGCCCACGTAGCCCAGTTCCCTTTGCACGGCCGAAGGTCGCCGATTGCGCGTCTCCGGCAGCAGCGGCATCGAAATGAGTCCCACGAGGATGGAGGCCGCGGCAAACACCCACAGGTAGAGCACCAGCCCAGGTCCAATCGGCGACTTAACCGCATTGAAGCCCTGTTTCAATGGAAAATGCGTTTGTATTTATGGGATTTCCTCAGAATTCTCAGTGCAGCGCTCCACTCACCTCAATCATGCCGAAGAGCAGCAGCCAGGCAACACCAGAGGCCACTGAATAGAGCAAGTCGTGCAGCTGTGAAAATCCAGTTCGGAGAACTTATTATAAATGTGTGATTAAAGACAGCAAGCAGTAAGAGGTAGAAAGTAAGAAGTAAGCAGTACGAAGTAAGAAGTAACAGAACAGCACTTAGGAACCCAGACAACTCATCAGAGGCTTAGCAATTAGAGAGTTGGCATTTGGGTAAATAATGAATTCGCAGTTTGAAAGTCATTTTAAGCTCAGACAATTTAATTTCATTTCCGTTTAATGGCACATTCAATTGACTTTAATTCATATTGAATATGCCATTAAATTTACTAAATTCAACTTGCACTCTAATTATTTGTTAATTTAAGCACACAAAACAGATAAAATAATGTGATGAAATTGAAGCTCAAATTCAAATGAAATGAAATGTAAGCTGCCCCAAATGAATTGCTGTGATGCCATGAAAAGTATGCAATGTATTAAGTTTAGCTGTCAGTGCAATGTGTCCAGCCCTCACCATTAAACGGAATTGCAAATAATGAAGGGCGGCCAATTAAACAAAAAATATGAATAGTAATGCGGGAATGCGCAGCGTCGGAATTCGCGCACCATGAAATTCGCAACTGTTCAGAATTTAATAATGACCGTTGGCCAATGGCCATGCCAGATTATTATTACATATTGATGGTATTTATTTAACCAAGACTGACGTCAGCTATTATCCCTGACTCAATCCATAAGTCAAACAATATTTTAGCCACTCAAGTGGTTATTATATTATATCGGGATAATCAGACCGATTAATTTCTTGGAATATATCTGATTAATCCGTTTATATTTTTCAGGCTGTGTTACGGTCACGTATGATATATGTATTATTGCTTACCTTTGTGGGCAGCACTTCGCTGCTGACGACAGCGGCCAGGGGATAGAGCCCAAAGCTGACGAAGAACAGCTGAATGGCGAGCAGGATGATGGGCAAAGAGCGCTCACACCAGAGGCCCAGAGACCAGCTCTCCTGGAAGTGCTTGAAAAGGGCCAGCAGGATGACTGGCACAGCAGCCAGCAGCGAGGAGACACAGAGCAGCACCTGGAAGAGGGAAGAGATCTCAGATTCAATGAGACTGAATCTGAAAAGAGATCGACAGGGGTTTCTCTACCTTGCGAGGCATCTTGGGGCCAACGAGGCGGGCAAAAACGGCACCAACACATTGCGATATGGAGAGCAGAACATAATTCAGCTCCATCGTGTAGCCAGTGCGACCCAGAAAGTCGGCCGCATAGTTCAGCTCCACGAAGACGCCGCTCAACTTGGCGCAGATGGTCAGCAGAAAGCTGACGCCGATCAGGCGGATGACGTAGCTGCGCGGGTAGTGCTCTGAGCCGATGCCCTTGCCCTCACCTTTCATCTCGGCCTTGAACTCGGACAGCTCCTGCAGATAGTCGGGCCTCTCGCGGTCATCTATGTCGCGTATGCCTCGATACCAACGAAGTGACTTCTCCAGAGCCGGCAGATTGCCCTTGCGCATGAAGTAATGCGGACTCTCCTGCACGAAGGGGAAGCACAGGGAGAACACACAGGACATCATGCAGCCCACAATATTTACGTAATGGTAGGGCAAATAGAAACCTAGCACAAAGCCAACGAGTATGCCCAGCGTGCGCCACAGTTCGATTGTGAATGTCAAGAGGGCGGCCTTCTCTCGGGTCTCAGCAATTTCATTGATGAAAATTGGCAGCACAACAAACGCGGCGCCAGCTGCCACGCCCCCAAACATGCGGGAGGCATAGATGTGAACGATATCGAAGCCAAAGTGAATCGTAAACCAGCTGAACTGAAAAAAATGAGAGTTTGAATTCGATAGCAAATCGCTCATTTCATTATAGTTATGACTAATTAATTTAGTAGGATAACCCTTAATGGGTTCAAAGGTGATCTAATTGAACTATGAAAAATTGGAAAAATTATCAGTACATAAGATACATATTAGATATACTTAAGTGCAAGTAAAAGTCACGACTTACAATTTGGAGCAATCCACTGCAGAGCAGCACGGACTTGGGACCGATACGAATGGCCAGGCAGCCGGAAGAGGCGGCTCCAACGGCGGCGCTCAGGAAAAGGTAGCCCGTTAATAGAGCAGTGCCCGTGGGATCTGTGACTTTGTTGAGCGGCGTTCGTTGCTCCGATTCATAGAGATCCATGTGAGCGGGTGTAATTCCAAAGAGGACGCCAAAGTTAAAGCAAAGCAAATTACCTGTGAGGTAATTTTAATTGATATTAGCAAGGTACTCAGATATATTTATGTTCATATATATGAATTTACCCACCAACGGCTGTGGCCACGCTCTGGATGGCGCCTCCGCTGACTCGCTTGGGCAAGCACATGATGAAGTCCTCTCGTATTCAGATTTCAGAATTCGAATTTCCTCAAAGTTGTTGTAGATGGAGCTGCATGTAAACTGAGAGGGTTTTATTGTCTGGACTGCCCCTTTTATGGTAGATTTATCTGTAACGTTTCGTTATCTTGAATGAGATAAGCGACTGCAAGGCAGTCTGCTGCTGTGCGCAACATATTGCCGTGGACCGTTGTTGGATACCCAGTCTCCGGGGCCAGCTTTTTAGATGTGGCAGATTTGTATATACATTTAAATATATTTGCTCAACGTGAGTCCACAATGATGCCGCGACAAAATGCCTGTGTCTGACTAAATGTTTTGGCTACCGTTGGAGAAATCTGTTTTTTAACCTACACCAGATAACCTTACCCAAGCCAAATACGTCTACGTTAGGGTTGTTCAGGCGCTGAGGCGCAACTTAATTAATACTGGACGCAAACTTATTCTTGACTGATGGAACAACAATTAATTTCAATTAAAATCAATTGTAGACAAAGTGCAGAAATATTTGTATTGTCGATAACATTTATTAGATATACTATATACCATTTGGTTTTATTTCAGAGGAGCAGAATAATAGTCAAACATGGTCAGGCAAAAACCAAATTAAGATATAGGATATTTGCGTTTTTTTAAAATTACCGCCTCTAAAATGATCGTTGGTTATCGACTATAATAAGGGCATATGCTTAACAGAAGCTGCCTGATACGACACTCTACTGTTATGCACTGCCACTAACCAGTGGCACAGCATAACCGACCTATCGAACAGCTATCGACCAGCCGCCACTCTGACACTTAGATCAGTCTACATGCCGGGCGAATTTTAATTTTGCCACTATTTATTTTTATTTAAGCAAAAGCAACACCATGACAGATGAGCTGTGGTTTAACGAATTTGCCGCAAATGAAACTATTTGGCTAAATAATGATGTTAGTGCTAGCGATCATCAGAATGCTTGGCGTAAACAAAAGTTGTTATTGGCACATGCTACAAGGTAAGTCAAGATGGTGATACAAAATGAGACACTCTTAACCGGAATCAAAAATCTTTCAACTATATAGCAATCTAAGTGAAACTGCCCGCTACGAAGTACTCAAGGAACATCAACAGATATTGTCAAATGCTAACAGTACGGAAGTCTTTATGAACGACTGTTTATCTGGATGCCGAAGCCTGTTGACGGCAAGTCAACGTCGAAGACCCGCTGCTGGACTTCAAGTGGAGTTGCTCCAGCCACCTAATCATTTTTTTGAGCCTTTGTGCCGTGGAAAATATGAGAGTTGCAAACTTGACGAAAATATAGAACTGAGCCGGTCCCCGAAAGGGGCTCCGCCAAAAGGAGTAGCAATGCCGTTATCGAGCCTATCAAGCCTTGTTCCTGCACCAGGGGCAGCAGGCGATGGAGACTTTCGTACAGCACGTGACCAGCTGCTGTTGCATGACATGCAGGTAAATGCTGAAAAAAGAGTTCAGATTAGGCATATAAATTGTTTTTCAAAATAATTTCCAATTATGTTAAAAGGCTTTTGATTTGTGTGCATATAGTATCTGCATGATGTCTGCTTCAGAGTCAGAGAATTGCATGTATGTATATGCTAGCCAGAAGTTTTTATATTTATGTATTATATAAATGTTAAATGAAAATGAGTAAACAATTATTATTTCAGAAGACAACAAATCATGAGACGCTTGCCTCGGCTCTGATGGACTACAGAAAAAAACCTCTTGGCGAACGTTCACGCAGTTTAAATGCCAACTTTGTACTACCCCTTAGAACAAGCGACTCGTAAGACCTAGCCTGAAGCCATTAATAGCTCGTCCAATATGATTCTCATTTGTTTGCTTAGGAATATTTTAGGTGCTCCTCAAAAGCAATCCGAGCCAGCGGCATCTGCTGCAGATGTGCTGCCTATTCCGTCCACGTTGGCAGACCTGGATTCCAACATGGTTCGGCAAATAATGCGTGAGAGTATGCACAAATATAAGTCAGTAGCATGGGATGATATAGCTGGGCTAGAGTATGCCAAGTCCACGTTCTTGGAGACCATCATACACCCATTAAAACGCCCAGATTTGTTCAAGGGCATTCGTCGACCCCCACGGGGCGTTTTGCTATTCGGTCCACCCGGCACTGGCAAAACGTTGATTGCCAAGTGCATTGCCTCGCAGTCGAAAGCCACTTTCTTTAGCATAAATCCCTCCACATTGACTTCCAAGTGGGTGGGCGAAGGCGAGAAGATGGTCAAGACTCTCTTTGCGGTAGCTGCTGCGCATCAACCGGCCGTAAGTGAATCTCAAGTGGTCCCTTCAAAAGAAGCAAACTGATTTTAGTTTTACTGTCTTTCAGATCATATTTATGGATGAGGTCGACTCCTTGCTATCGCAACGCTCGGATAGCGAGCACGAGAGCTCCAGACGTTTAAAAAACGAGTTTTTTATACAATTAGATGGGGCGGGATCCAACGAGGATGACCACATTGTGGTCATTGGGGCCACCAATCGTCCTCAGGAGCTGGATGAGGCTGTGCGCCGTCGATTTGTGCGTCGCATCTACGTTAGGCTGCCCGTAGCGAAGGCACGTCAGATGATAATTCAGAAGCTTATAAAGGAAATACACCACAACCTCAGTGACGCACAAATAGAAGAACTAGCTAATTTAACCGAAGGTTATTCGGGCGCCGATATGGACAGTTTTTGCCGTTATGCGGCTATGCAGCCACTGAGAGCTTTAACAACTGCTCAGATTGACGTAATCGATGCACAGCAGGTAAGCAACTCTTCCCATCAAGCAGCTCTTTCCAATACCGCGCACCGAACAGGAATTAGATATGTAAGGTACACTGATTTCTTTGAAATATGTTGTTTATTCTTTGTCCCTTTAGATTGAAAATTCAGCGCTCCCATTTCGAAATTTATCCACGATAATCTAGTCTGTAGCGGTTGGACTTACATACCTTAAGATTAGTAATAGCATATTGAGTACATCCACTACACTAGTAATCGATCATATAGTTGAGCATTCTCAACAAGCATCAGCTGAATTGTCATCCATGTAATAACTGTTATATTTTGTTCATATCTTGCGCAGTTGCCCGCTGTTACGATGACTGACTTTACAAATGCCCTGCAGCATATCTCGAAGAGCGTCTCGGCGGATGATGTGAAGCGTTACGTGACCTGGAATCAGTCTTATGGGGTTCAGAGTTAAATAACACAACTTGAACTTGAAGGTTTTTTCGAATGCTTTATTTGTAGTTTGACATCCTTTACAGTTTACTTGTACTTTCGATTGCCTATCCTTACACTTACTCAGAGACTTATCACATGAATTAATGTCGCGCTTATACTCTAGGTCTTGGAATGCTAAACACGTAATTATAATCTACTTACATACGGGGTAAACATGATCGGCTATGCTAAATAGTTCACAGCACATAAAAATTTGACTTCGTATACATCAGAGTTGAATAACATTTAGACATCGACTAGGTTCAAATTGGCTTCTTTTTGTTTGTTTTTGTTTTTTTGTTTTTTTTTTTTTTTTAATTTTTTTATCAAGTTGCCCCAAAATAATGCTTTGAACATCATGGGCAATGGGAAAGTTAAATAATATTTAGATGTAGCTTAAACAATAATTATACTAAAAAGAATTGCATTTCTATTAATTTACTCCCTAATTGGTGGAAAGACGTAATCGTCGCTCAGACTGTTTATGTCCTTGTAGGTGGTCTTCGGGCTTAATACCTTGTACAGGGCGTCGAAGGTGGGTCGTTCCTCTGGGTCTTCCAGCCAGCACTGCAGCATTATCGTGTACACCTGCGGCGTACATATCTCGGGGCGCTCCAGCCGATTGCCCGCCAAGAGAAAGGGTATCAGCTCGCTGTTACTGATCGTGGGATAAGGCGAGGCGCCCAAGGTGCCGATCTCCCAGAGGACCACGCCGTACGCCCAAATGTCGCTCTTGCTGGAGTACACGTTGTCTCTGATGGCCTCAATCGAGAGCCAGCGCAAAGGCAACTGCGGCCAGGCAATGCGAGCAATTCAATTCAAAAATTAATTGACATCAAACCTTCAATTATTTTCCTCGACTCACCTTTCGTGTTTTGGTATTGGTGTAGATGCCATGCCTGGAGAGGCCAAAATCTGAAATTTTCAGCGTCTTGTTGTCGTCGATAAGCACGTTGCGAGCTGCCAGGTCGCTATAGATTTTGAAATTGAGTATTAGTGGCATATTATGGCAAGCCCAAGTAAACTATATAACGTCGGCAATATTACAAATGTATTTACTTATTTAAATAAAGAGTCTTGTATACCCTGCATCCTACTTGAATACATAAGCTATATGAGGCGTATCTGTGATGTACAGTTGACGTTTTTCGTTTCTATGAGCTTGGCTGAAACATTTCAAAAGACTTATGTGTACTCAATCAAACTGGAGTGACTGACTAACGCATACCCTGCCCAAGGCACTATGCAATCAATGCATGAGCACACGCTCCGTTTCGTGCACACCTTACGGACAGACTTTGTTTGTGGATTCTGCACTCATCGGAAGTGAGAAAAGTTAGTCAAGAACTAAGCTCCTCTAATAAAGTTCACAATTCCGGTGAAGCGCAGCAAGCAGACTGCGTGTGTGTGTGTGTGTGTGTGCAAGTTTACAAGGGCTTTTACTGCTGCTGAGCGAATTGAAAAACTGTTTGATAATGCAGAGATGATATTGAATAAAAGATAATATTAAAATTTAAGTTCTCATGTACGTCAAGCTGCAGCAGCTTTTTATATCGATTTGGATGTGTGCAGTTCCCTGAAGAGATTTGGAATGACGCGAAGTTATTGTTGTCGCTCGTTTCCTTGGGGAATGCTGTCCTGCAGTCAGCTTCGACAGCCGATTTTGATTTTCTGATTGATTGGCAGGCAAATAAAAAAGTTTTTCATACTTTCCATAAAAACTAAACACAGCAAGAGAAACAGTTTTTCCACGCCTAGTGCACATCTAACTGAATAAATTTTATGTACATATGTATTTGATGAGCTCACATTCGTGGAAATGTAAATTTAGATTTATACTGTTTTTGTTTTGCGCATACCGATGTGTTATCTCTTGCTGTTCCAGGAATCGCATGCCATTTGCAATTTGCAGTGCGAAATTGTGCAACTCCCTGTTGTCGAGTATGTACTCGAAAGAGTCCTCCTCCTCCACGATGGTATACGTAGCTGAAATCACATATAAAAACATTTTGATGGGAAAACATTTTTGCAGCTCTGAAGATTTCCAGAGCAATTTAAGCACTTTGTAGACGAAAACTAACATTAAATGCATTATGTGTTGTGAGTGCTTTATTGTTGCATTTAGCTTGGTTGAGCAATAAGCAAAATTGTATACTTACTTTCCGCAAATGAGGGTTTTGGCTGTCTGTGTCCCACTCCGTTTGAATTGGAGTAGGGCGAGCAGGCGGAGCTGGAGGAGGATTCCAATGCGGTGCACTGATTGCTGGCCTTGAGTTCAATGTAATTAACGCTCGGCAGCTGCGCCACCGAGGCGCCTGCCGAGTTGCCTTTGGCCTGTCTGCCACTCGAGTGGTTCGCATTGCGCACCCTTGGCTGGCCCAGCTCCTGGCGGGCCATACGCAAGTAGTTCAGCTAGAGCGGACAGAAGAGATCGATTGAAGACATAGCAAAGGAATTCGGGCTCTGCTCTTGGCTCACCAGGTTGCCGCGTCCCACAAACTCCATGATCATCAGTAAGGGCGCCCGTATGGTGCAGCAGCCCAGGAAGCTAACCACGTTGTTGTGTGTGCCGACGCCCTTAAGCATATTAATTTCGGAGAGGAATTCGGCTTCCTCATCTGCCGAGGGATTGGCTGTGTCCAGGTGCAGGGCGGGATTTCAATTAAATGCAGTTCAATTGTGGATTCAATTCGTGTCTACATACCCTTCAGCTGCTTGACAGCAACTACCGTCGTGCCCCGCATGCGTCGCAAATTGCTGGCTTTCGCCATGTGCACGCGCCCAAAGGCGCCTTCGCCCAGGACTCGGCCAATGTGAATGGCTGAGTGCGGCACCTCGAATATGTCGGCGAGGCCCAAAGCCTGCGATTGCTGTGCGAGGATAGATCAAAATGGAAAGGTTTGTGAATCTCCACAACAAAAGTCAATTATTTATTGAAAGCTCTTTAAACTGATCTATTCAAATCTCATTTCGCTCAAATGCAAACAGACCCAAGTTGGGGCTCCGTCATTCACTTACGTCTTCTTGCAAAAACTTTCCACAAGTCAAATAACTTGCACTTCTATAACTGCCTTTGCTGCACTCTCTTGAGATTTACCAATTGCCAATTTAATTAATTTAAATCTATTTAAGTTTTTAATTTTATTGTTGGCTATCGGGCGAAGCCAGTTGAAGATGAAGTTGATAAGCATTGCCCTTCGCTTGCTTACCTCAATGTATTTGTCCACGTAGTTGATGTTGTCCTCCATTCTGGGATGCGGAGTGAAATAGAATTGTAAAACAGACATCAGATAATAAGAAGATAATAAGAAATATATTTAGCTCCTAACTCACTCGACGGGAGACACTGCGAGCGATTGCATATATATCTGATTCTTGTGCAGCTTATCCTTGGCCCGAGCTCGGCGACGACGAAGGAGAAGTGTCAACAGGCCCACGCAAAAGACGACAAAGACCAAGGTGGTCATTACAATGAGCGAGTTACTCTGGAAACCGGAATGCGTAATGGGTCAGGAGTGAGCAACGATTGCAGTAGTAGTAGTAGTAGTAGTGTGTCTTTTCTCTCACCAGATGGGCATCCCTGTTCAGCATGAGTGGATTGGCGGGCACTGAGTAAAATAAAATCATAAATAATTCAAAGACTCGTAAGACCAAAAGACTCACCCGGAAATCTGTATACGGTGCGCTGACCCTCACAGCCAGTGGGATCTATTATCATGGCCTGCAGATTGAGGGAAGTCTTCTCCTTCAGCTGCGTGCCCAGGTTGAGCATCATGTTGCCATCGAAGCCCTGCGCAGTGGGACGGAAGTGCGATTCACTCAGGTTGTAAGTCCGATTGAACAGATTCTTCAGAACACCACCCCACAACAGCAATGGATTGGTCTCCTCGTTGATTCTGGGAAATGAATGTAGCGATTCATACAAAAATGTGTCATATAAATATGTGTGGGAGGAAAAAGGAATGTGGAAGGCGTATCGGTTGTTAGTAAAGGAATCGCATCTGGCATCTACCTGTTCTACCTGCTTCTACCTGTTACTTCTTATAACAAGATAAAAATATAACAAATTCTATATGAACTCACTTGAGCTGCAGTTTATAGAGCTGCAGCGTCTCGTGCAGACGATTCTCCTGCTCCTTGCGGATCTGCTCGGTGGCAGGTATGGTGAAAGCGATGTTGATGGTATCGTTGGCCTGCATGTTGGCCGTGGCTAGCACTTTTGGTAGCAAGGAAGGATCCTGGCAGGAGCATTCACCGGCTACACAGCCTGCGAAGGATATCCAGGTGAATTAATAGCTCGTTAAAAGAGAGAAGGAAGAGATTTAACGCGTACGTGGTATGAAAACGCGCGTGGAGCGGCGCACGAATAGATTTGATGTCTCCACAGTCACATTGTACAGGCAGCCAAACATGTAGTTGCAGTCGAGGGACTCGACATTCGGATTGGGACTCTGGGGCAGATAGATGTAGTTGCTGGGCTTCTTCTTAATGGAGTACTCGCTGCAGGGCGCGTCCGGGCAGCGAGTGCTGTTCACGGCACTGACCAGCACATTGTATATGGTGCCTGCAATGCGGAAGGGCAGGTGGGAGATGGGAGTGAGGCGCTTAAGCAGCAAGCCCATAATTATTCAATGGCCACTCACCATTGGGCAGGTTGTCCTGCCAGCGCACTTGCAGCCGTGGGATTTTCTGCTTGAACAGCGTCACATTCACGGACAGCTCAGTGATTTCGCCTTTGCCCAAATTTAGCTGCGACAAGCAAACGAAATGGATATAGTAAACAAAATGGCGATATATATATTAAATTGTTTATGCAATTTATTTTTTGTATGGTATATCTGGTTCAGTTCAGTTAAATAAATAGAATTTATGAATATTTTTTGTATTTTTCATTTTCGGCTTTAATCTGCAGTAAACCGAAGCTTGCCTTTAGATGTACATATATAAATATATATAATCTAATCTATATTTGTAAATTGGTGTAGCTGAGGGTATTTCAAACCTCGACCAATCATCCTCACGCTCTTATTCACAAACAGTTTGTGGGCAAATTAATAAGTTGTTTATTTTTCTGGATACATTTTCAAGTACAATTGCGAATCACAAAAAATTGATTACGTCAATGAAAATTGTTACGACATGAAAATGTCCTTCAGCTATTTGTTACTACTCCAAAAGTTTCTGAGAATTACTTACGATTAGTTTGTTTCTGCTTTTGTGTGGGCCCGATTCAAGCTCTGTTCTATTGTAGAATATTTTGTTGCCATTGATGTTGATGTTGTTGTTGTCGTCGTTGTTGTTGTTGTTGTTGCTGACTGTTGTATTGAGGAACATTGTTTGCATAGTTGGCTCCTCCGGCCGAATGTCGAACATTGCCCGACTTGGTTTGGCTGTGAACAGAATTTGAATCGAAGGCGTTGGCAAGCTCTCGCTCCCGTTGCGCGGAGACAGCAGTTCAGCCACATTGCTGGGTAGCAACAGCAGCGCAATATGCGTTATGAGCACATTATAGAATATTAACCGCAGCATTCTTCGAATTTCCACTGCTCATAATTGGTATAGGGTATATGGCTCCGAGTTCTGCAATATAATAAGGCGAAGCGTATCTCAGAATTTGAAAAGAGCCGACATTTAATACAGATCTATTATAAGCAAGGCTCCCTAAAGCCATGGAATTAATAAGCAAACGGGAGTAGATAATAAAGAGCATATCTAATTAATTTGATTGCATGGAATCTCAATCATCTTCAAATAAATGCCAACAATTTCGATGCATATCGGATTTCGTATTTCGTAATTTTTAAAAAAATTGTCAGGACTGCACCTGAAAGCGGTTCTTTCTTTCCCTAGTCCTCTAGTCCTCCAGTCCTCCAATCCCCAGACCCCCAGTCCACCAATAACCGGTCAGAGTATTTACATTGCGATGAGAATGGGCACCCACAACAGTCGTTAAATATTCATAATCGATGTATTCATAAACGTAAACAGGTATTCAGAAACATGCTTTTGTATCGATTTTGATCTATAATAGAGAAATTAGAGGAAAATTACAAGTCTCTTGCAACTCGGGTCCTTCAGAAATATTTATTTAAAATTGATTGCCCCGGATGTCAGCGGAGGGGGGAAATTTGATCTGGCTGCTGACGAGGTGAAACCGATAGGCTCTATGTAAAATAAACAGCAGAGCAAACAAACGAACGAAAACTAATTAGCTGCATATCATAAAAGCCACAAACTGAAATTGAGTATACGCCCTGTATCACGGCATAGAACATTTTGCAATTTTAACATTCTGCCATTGGTCGCTCGGCCGAGGGTTATGACAAGCGCACAGCTTGCATGCAGCTGAAAGCCACAAAACGCTTGTTATCTCACGTATGTATATATATATATCTATCCTGCAATTGCATGTGTCAAAGGGAGCCACACAAGGCTCGAAGTGCTACCGCAAAAAGGAAAAAGTAAAATCAATATGAATATGTTGACCAATCAGTTTTCGACCGGTTTAATGCAACGATTGAGCAGCAAATATACCCTGTAATTGGGAGGACTCAATACAGTATAGAGAACCAAGTCCAAGTAGGAGCTTTAAGCATGAGAGCATTATTGAATCAATAATTGGTAGATTGAATGATCGATTCAGCGATTGGTTAATCAAACGATTCTTTTCGTGATCGTTGACTTTGGCAGGGTATTTCCATGCATGCATTGACTTTTCCGCCCATTTGACACTGGCCAGTGTCATTGCTCAGACAATTAGACGCAAACAATTACGTGAGCTAGCACTTAGATTGAATTGTTAGTGAGGCGAACCAAGACACGAGCCAGCAGAAAGCAACGAAAAGCAATGCACTTAACAGGTGCAATTGTGTGTGTGTGTGAGTGTGCTTGGTTTCTATAAGACTAACTGAATTGAATACACTTATGAATACGGCTTATGGGGGATTTAGGCCGCTTAACGCATGATTACTTAAGAAGCTGATTATGTATTTGAGCGATGGCAACCAAGGCAGCTACACACGAGGATGATGTCATGGCGCCATTTCCAATTAAAATATGAGCTTGCTGGAAAGCTCGTTGCTTTGCTTCAACACCCTTTGTAGGAGGCATTTATGTAAATGCTCTGCAGCTCTCAGTTCGCCTTGTTGATTCATGACTTAATGCATAATGCCAGATCATCCGCATGTGCATGAAGCCCGCAGAGACCACAATGTGCATGTCCTTTGTGAATGCCCTTGTGGACACTCGAGCGACTTGTGACTGTGTTGCGTGTAAAGCACTACTTAATAAAGCTCCGTTATATTCAATGTACTGCGGCTATCGGCCTGCGTAATCGTGATGATTCAGCATACATACTTATGGCACCTCTAAACAATAGTATATCTACGTACATACAAATATGCTTCTGCTCTTCGTTTCATTTTGGCTTTGATAGCCATAATTCCTCAAGTCACCGCTGCGATAAGAATGCCGAGTATTTCAATGTATTCCTATTGAATTTGCATTATGCAATTTCATTCCATAAACGTTTTAAGCGTTTTCCCATTTTCGCTTCTCTGTTGACATTTGAGGTGTCCCGCAGCGCCATTCGCCTGGCTAAACACTAAGTGTTTGTGTTCAATGTGCTTGTGTTTGTGTGTGTGCAGGCTGTCAGCGCTTGGCCACTCGCTGAACACGCCAGCCAGGTCGCCTTAGTCGTCCAGGATTAATGCGCGTATTTATATATAATAATGCTAACAAAGCTAATTGTTGACAAGACATTAACAGCTCCGGGGCTGGGTTAGTGGGGCCAATAGCCAGCAGCCTGTAGCCAGTAGCCAGTAGTCAGGTCATAAATTAAGCCATGTCACAACGTTTTTTTATTTTATGGCCCGCTTGCTGTTTGTTTGTTTTGGTTTGTCGCCCTCCCCTGGCCACTGGACCCGACTGGGCCATAAATGAAAACAGTTTTATACAGTGCTAAAATTGCGATAATTTTTCCCATTGCCAGTGGCAGCAGGTTCCAATTATTATCTGGCAAGAGATAGCATCGTTATTGAATTAACTAACGCGTGATTCATTCTATTTTTATGCAGCGAGCAGATTGTTATTCATATCACTTTGATACTGAAATGAATTACACCAGTTACATTTTACAATTGGAATTTACATATAGGTACTGCAAAACCAACAACGTTTTTTACTTCATAAAAAGTACATATTAATCGTAGTGATTGATTTCGCATCTTACTTCAAACATCATCATCATTATCATAGGTACAAACGTACCTACTAATCGTAAATGGATTTACCCTTGGTCTCCTCCATGAACACAATAACGTAGAAGAAGCACAACACACTGACCGAGGCACAGCCCCACATGGTGGCAGCCAGCCCCCAATACTCCATCATCAGCGGAAAAGCTTTCAGAGAGGTGAACGCGAAGCAGCTGAGACAGCCCAGGCAAGCGCTCGTGCCCACTGCGCGTATTTTGGGGGGAAGAACCTCAACTAGAACCACCATTGTCACCGAGATGATTCCCACATTAGCCAGGAATATATTAAAAGCCATTATTGTGACGGGCAGCCAACTGGATATTGCGCTTAGGTCGGTTTCAGTTTCGTCGCCAAAAAAGGCATACAGCCCAAAGGCGCCGGTGCCTAGTGCACTACCCGCACACGAGACACTCAGGAGTATTTTGCGGCCATGCCGATCCACCAGATAGATGGAGGCAAGAGTGCCCACAATCTGCACTGCCCCAATGATAATCGTATTAGTGTTGGGCTCCAGCTGCGTGTGCACGCGCTCGAATATGTTTGACATGTAGTTGATGAAAGCGAAGGTGCCAGTGAATATGTTGCCCACCATCAGCACGAGACCTGTCGCAATGGCCTTTAAAGCGCGCCTGTTGCCTGTCCAGAAATCGGAAGAGGGAAAGCAGGTGCCAAAATCTCAGCTAGAATCTTATCCATCAAAGCTTACAGAAGTCAGACATGGTCAAGCCCTCGTTGCCGCTGTCCTTGGTCGGCTGCTGCAAAGCACCACGCATTTCCTCAAACTGATTCCGGTAAGCACGCTCCGACTCCTTGCTAGGCGTGGGGCCATCGCAGTTGCAGTAATATTTTAAGGCACGCTTCGCATCCTCCTCTCGACCCCATCGCATTAGCTGCTGCGGGGTCTCCGGGAAGCGTGTGGTCAGCAGGACATAGCAGATGGGCAGAACGACCACAGCACATGGAATCACATGGTAGGGCACATGGGAGGAGATAACGAAGCCCACCATTATCCCTATGTTGATGGCAAGGTTAAAGAACGAACACAGCCTGCCGCGTATGCTGCAAATGCATAGATGCAATTGATGCGCTGACTGAACTCTCCATTGGCCAACAATCGAGCTACTCACCTTTTGTCCGCTATTTCGCCAATGAAGAGGGGCAACACTATAAACATTCCGCCCCCTGAAAGGCCGGCACACACTCTGGCGGCGTACAGCCATTCAACGGAGTCCGCGAAATAGAACAGAATCCAAATGCACTGAATGCGAGAACATTTCACGTAATTTTACTATTGCTCCAATTTACATGATTTCAGCTAGCTGGACTAACCGTGTGGGGCAGGGCAAGGCCGTAGAGCGCCACCTTGCGTCCAAACCGATTCATCACGAATGAAAATAGGAAATTGCCCGAAAAACCGCCAAAGCTGATCATCGAACCCACCCAGGACGCCTCACTCACATCAATCACAAAGTCCAGAGGAGTCTCCGAAGCTGATTGCAGCTGAGGCAGCATGGGAGACAGCCAGCCCAAGCTGATGCCATGGCAAAACGTAATTATTACAACTACAAATAATCGAGTTTTTGCTTAGTAATAGTGAACTCCGATTCGTTCTCATCCCATTCCTGAATTCTCTCTCTCTCTCTCTCTCACTGTTTCTCTCATAAATACTTAGTACACCTCCATAAACCCACCAGTCAATGTTACCAGCAGTTGGCGACGAAAATCCTTATTGAATATGCCCGATCTAAATGTTTCGCTAAACATTTTGTTTCGTTTGTTGTTCAACTCGGATTTCGGAACTTGTTTCAGCACAGATTTTCTTACTGTTCTCGACTATCAGCTAAACTGTTTCGGTGAGTGCTGTGGCATATGCTTCCCATGCTATTCAGATGGAGTGTTCTCGGCAGTAGAACGAATTAGATGATGCGAAATTCTCCCTTTGAGATGTGTGCAATAACTAATGAGATCAGAAGCGTCTCACCATTTATATCTGGAACGAAGATTTTGATATCTAGAGACGTAACCAAATCTAAATCTTTGTATAAACACAAAACAGACAGAGAGACAATGTCATGCACTTGGCTTATAGCCCCGGGTGGTCGGTCCCCAAAATCCCTGCTGTTCCGCAATCTTTATAGAGATGTAAATCATATGAGTGTGGACCTCATATCAAATCTGTTTGCCATACGCTCGCCGGAACTAACACCGATCCAATAAAAGTACTCCTTATCAAGGGCCATGACATTGCTCTCCAATGACACTTGACAAGCTTATTTACCTAACTACAGTTATGAATGAAATTTCAGTTCAGTCCGCACAAGCCGA